TTAGTAAGCTGTACCATATCTTTTAAACACATATCATTATAACCAAGTAATTTTTAATTCAGACCAACTAACAGTTCATCTAATTACTTACATCAAATTCTCGCCAGAATATGAAAGGGAAGAATATTATAACAAAGGCTAATTCCACAATGAAAGTGACGAGTATAAACTCCCCAAAGTTCCTGAGCACATCGAATCTGTTGACGACACTGACAGCTACTACAATTCCCGCAATAATCACAGTAATTGTCCATGTGACTAATGTCCACCAGAATTGTAAGTTGATGAGTGGAACAGCTGCAGCAAAGGCAACGATTATTGTCTGAATGAGGGATGAAGAGAAGCGAACAATAATGAAAAAAATGAAGTACATCAGTTTCCAAAAATCGTTTTTGAAAATGAATGAATCTAATGAACTCGTGTTGCAGTTTGTAGTCAGTTGGAAGGAAGCGGTGAACCTTGGTACTCAAATTATAGACGAGCCATAAGATGGCATACATACCTTTACTCAGTAATTTTATGCTGCATGCCGTTAGCAGCTAAAATATAAGAACACTGATTTCAATCTCACATTACCACAAAGTTAAGATATGCCGCTTATGAAAAAATTGGGAAGATGTTTTCAGCTCATGGGTTTATCTCTATTTCCTGGAAGGTATTTATCCAGTTGTTCGGAAATAACGCAGTTGATATTTGTAAGCTGGCAGGAAGAGATGAATCCTTATATTCAGGTTCCGAGTAATTCATTTGTAGTCGTATGTACCTAAAAATAACTATCATGCCAGAAGCCTGACCAATAATATTCAACCGAAAGTCTACTGTAACCGCATTGACACTGGTTTAGCTATGATATTGCTGGGAACTAACCATATATCTGTTTTGTAAAGAATTAGGAAATGATAAGCAGTCAATAACTCCACTTTTCCTTTTGAGGAGGAGGTTATAAATGGAATTCACTATTCTTTTTAAAATTTGATCATCTATATTCCTTCGTGTCACATAGTTCACTAATGTGCTCCTACTGAGCTGTGAGTGTTTCAAGAGCGACTGTACTTGGTTTAATATTTCTAATATTCGGGGTTCCAGACAGTAGGCAATACTGGATCCACTTCAAAGCTGTTCCTTTCATGTAAGAATAGTAAATACCTATTCGTCGCACTTTTTGCCTGTGAATCAGCCTTTTTAGGATAATATGACTTCGTTCTTTCTCTTGGTGTGAAATCCATCCCTTAACTCTATCAACTTCATGTGGATTCAGCCTTAATATAAAATATTGGAATGTGGAGTTATCCGAGTAGGAACAAGCGAAGCATATCTTTATGTGAACATCTAACAGTCAGATGTGCAAGAGGAAAATATTCTTGTGAATATAGTACTTTCGTAAAATCAGTTGACTTAAAATTATGAATGGCAGAACGGACTCCACTTACAGCAATTATCAAGTAGATGTAATTGAATGGGAAGGCGAACTGTAACTGCGGTATTAAAAGCATCTCCAGCTGCAGAAATGTTCCCAGAATTCTGTATTAACACAAACGAAAGTAAACAAGAGTTATAAAGTTCAAGTGAACTTTGAGGAAGATATGGGAGAATAGTTCCAAAATAATCGGGCGACGAGTTAGAAGCAGACGTATGTACACATTATACTATCTATAATGATGCATACTAAGGTAAAGAAAGTTATAAAGACTGGGTTTCTGCAGATCATTTTGTACAGGATGAGGAATGGGAAGGAAAGACATTGACTATAATTGTGTTGATTCAATATGACGATTGCTACCAGACTACTCAAACTACAGACTGATTAATTCGTAGGACTGTCATAAATAAGTTGTCGTTTTCACAGGCAAAACGACATCTCATCTGGTAATACAGCGGATTCAGTAATCAAAGTTTGAATTTCTTCTGATATATGAGATATTATTCGTTGACATGAAGTGTTGAGTTGCTCATACAATCGGTAGGTGTCAGTATTCTTTAGTCTTTCTCACTTAGTTCACCATCAGTTTTCATGTGTCACGTTTATAGCTCAAACCTCTTGTAATGACGGTGTTCATATTAAACAGAAACCACTTCCACGTCACTAATTGGATCTTATTAGCTTATTCATTGTCTTTCTCTCAGCCTTACTGTCTACGGTATACGTTCCCATGAGATTTACAATAGATAGAGTGATATGGGTAAAATGGATATAAACGTCAGTATTATACGTACCCACACATCCATGGAAACCAAGGACTTTCCGTCATCCATGTACGAAGTTCCGGACTTGAAAACATTTCAGTGACAATATTAAGTCAACAACACATAACTTACACAGATAACACGACAGCGCAGATTCCCCACACAATTGTTATCTGTACTGATACTATGATTAAAGTCTTTGAAAAATGAATGGATTTCAAAAATGGCGCTGATACCTTCCAAATTAACTCCCTGGTTCTTCGTTCAACAGGAAACTGGCTGGAAATAGACTTGGTTAATTCGGTTATATGTGATAACAGTGGGGAACATGCATCTGTGTTACTTTGTGAATTTGCTAAATCTTGAGCTGAAGGCGGTTCATCCGTTGGAGCGAATGGGGGGATTGTTTGGTTTTCATTTTTGACTGATAATATTTTCAAATGGTTCATAATAAATTAAAAAAGGAGAAAAGAAGAAGATTTGATGGTAGCCTTATGAATTAACAATGAACTACTCGAGATTTCTTGACTCACGAATACAGCTATAATTAAACGGTCGAATGTAGAGAATCTGTTTATTTCATTTTTGATGTCACAAAATCGTGTTGGTTTCCCCTATTGTGTTAAAGCATGCACGCGGTAGCACCGATACTTAACCCTTCTCCTTGAATCATCATGTTTCAAAAACGGAAAGTGGACTTGCATAAAATAACATACTCTGCATATTGCGTTTTACGCATACGCACATTTTACTGTTGTCACAGGCGAAATATATGATGTGAGTAACTCAAATACTTGCATACCAGTTCTGTAGCATCATTCTACATTCTACGTTATCGAGTCTATGCCGAACGTACTGAGATGTTCACTCAGTGTTCAAAAGACTCTTCCAATTGGAGTAAAGATCACTAAATATAACTGTTTCTCTTATTTACTTTATGTTAGTGAGTCTTTTCTTAAGTAGTGAGATAATCCTTCAGACCGCGAAGTCGACAAACTCAACACATCTACAGTCAGCTGAAATAAGAATGTACACTCAACATAAGGTACACTTACAGGGCTTGGCGAGTTGATCAAATATTTCATGCATAATCATATGTTGTAATAGAATCTTTAGAATGACAGTGTTGAGTTACAACATTAGGTGAAAAATTATGTCCAATGTTGATTGACATATGGTAAGTGTGTATGTGTCACAGAGCTTATTTACAGTATGAAGATATATTGGGGTATATTCTTTTTAAGAGTGTGAAACCTGTGTGGTTTCCTTGGGTTTGGTATCGCACGAACCAACATGGTGTTCATGAATAATAAATTAGCCAATATATATTCTGATTGTGATTGTCCTACGTATGATAAATCATAATGGTCGACAGTTTGCATCGGTCTTTGAAGACCAAGTCGGATTTCCAGACAATATTTATCACCTTAATTCATTCTGAGAATGCTGTTTTGTGCGTGGTTGCACGACTAACTTAGACAGTTTTGAAACAAACACTACAGTTTTTCGGATCGATATTTATCCCTCTTTAGAGGTGGTGTTGAGTGTGGCGCAAACTATGTGCAAGTAAATCCCTGTTGAACAGTCTAAATGAAGAATCGTGATATCTATATAAATCTATGATGTCCAAATATATTAAAGATTAGTTGTCTGGAGTCTTCGAATCTGAATATTCCAGATAGATATTTCAGGTTTATTCGTTCCATTAGTCGAAAAAAGCATAAGATACTATAAGCGATTGAGGAGATAAATCTATGTTTCGCGTTACAATTTACAGCAGTATAATAATGTCTCTCATGACAGCTTCAATATCTTGATTTCAAGAGTATCCGTATTTATGTTGAGCAAGTTACGACTCATTCATAGTGTCAAGTTTCCATCAGACACACAATCCATTCGTCACTATTTAATAATGTCCATGACTAACTGTATTCCCCCAACTATTTCAGTGAATATATGAGTGTCCAATCTGAGCGGAATCTTTCATTCAGTTAGAGAATAAGGAATTACTGAATTTCAAAGTGGCCGATTCAGTGAGAACTGTTTCAAAATAGTATTCAGCAAATCGGTAATTCTGAAATAACAGAGATGTTTAGCTCAGGTGTATGATTTGCAATAATAGTGTTCTCTGAGCTGGTTGGTTTAATTGCGTAGCTTTCGCTGAAGATGTTTTCTAGAAGGACGAGAGGATGTCATAGCTTTTGAATACGTATTAGTTACTGTCGTTCATCAAATACACCACACTGACACGTAACATAAGATAAGGTCGTGAGCAGTACGACATCATAACGAACAGCCTCATGTAAGCATTACAAGTATCAGGGTTGAAAGTAAAACTAGGGGGAATATATTTTCAGATGTACAGTAGAATTCACACATAAAACAGAAAACTTACCCTCGTTCGATGAATTTGTCATTGTCGAGATTGTATTAACTGCAGAAATCGTGGAATAAATGTGCAATCGATTTAAAAATATCAGCATATTTGAAAATCAGTAAATGCGAATTTATATGAGCAAAAGTGTTGACATTGATGAATTGCAACACGAACTTTGATATGAGAGAAACAACCAATGAGACAAGTGAATTAGAAACTAGACTACTTGAAAAACTGTCTGAGTAGACGCAAAAAAATAAAGTCTCATAGAACTGTCGGAATACAAAAGCACGTTAGTTAGAATACTGAATAAAAGGCGTCTACTTTGAGCAGATATATAAAACAGAATTGAACTATCATGGCGTAATGGCAGTTCGGGAGCCAGTTAGCACCATTTGCTGCTGAATGTTTACTTCAGCATACTTGAAAATCCCTCATAAATGAGAATATATAACTTCGTGGAGTTGTTAGTCAAGGTGTTGGCCAAAAAAATGTGAGAAATGGAACAAAATATGAAAATAAATATTCCGTTGTATGCAGTCGAAATGGAGTCTAACTTAATAGAACGCGAGGCTAAAAATAAGCACTAATTTTAATGCATGAGTCTAAGTAAGAGTGAGAGCTACAGGTAGAATTCAAATTCCAAATTAAAGCGTCTATCAATAGTGCGCTTGCGCTCTTCACATTATTATGAGAATTGACAAATAATGGCTAGTTTTTAATGAGACAGCTGAACTGGAATATCAGTTATCTAGTTGATGAAGAGAATGACGTAGGAATCTATTCAATCAGAGTGAAATTAAAGAAAATGGTTGCATCGAATCGAGATAGCCCTATACATTTTGCCTTATTGGTGCACCGAATTAGTGTCAGGATTAAATATGTAGTACATGGTGTCTGATTTGAAAGATGTTAGGTGCATTTATCCGCACATCTGATTTCTATGAATGACTTATTTACGCGTTTTTCTTTGAGCTAGACAGATATTTTCTACATTACAATGTCTACGATACGTAGGGGAGACGCACACTTTAAAAGTCATAAAGTTTTGGTACCCTCAGACTCAGAGTGATCAAGATTACATCAACGACTGCCCTCTGTATAATCATCGAGTTTCAGCGACTTTAAATCTGGAGTGTTTGTCTGTTCAGCTGTGTTAGTGGAAGTTAGTTCACAGTTTTTCTCCACCTGAATAAAAAGGATGAAATCGCATAAGTTACTATGTAATTAGCAAAGTGAATCGACCCTTTCATTGTTCATCTTTCTGTAATTTTACGGTGTCACACTTTCTATCGCTTACTTATAACTTTGCTATTTTATTTTAAATTTTCAAGTATCGGTTTTGTAGGGATTTTGTTTGATTGCATGGAGGATTTAATCATGAGCTGACATCAGTTAGAGAACCTCTGAAAACGAGCTCGCATTGTAACCAGAAGGTCCTGGGTTCGAATCCCGGTGGGCGCTTACTGCTGAAGAGTCCCAAACTAGGACGAAACAGCTGTCCAGTACTCCCGAGTTTTTCAGTGGTTCTCTAACTGATGTCAGCTCATGATTAAATCCCCCATGTATACATTGGTGGATGGTGGCTAGCAGTGGAACATGCGCATTCGTCCTATTTGGGACTCGTCAGCTGGATGTACCTGCATTTATCAGTGAGTGATGATGTTCCCACCGAGGTCGAACCCAGTATCCATAGTTTCAAACGCCAAAGCTTATCCACTAGACCACTTGGGCCACGAGAGCCACCTCTTGTGCAACGGGTCATATAATTATTGAATTGAATTTTTGATTTTCCGTCGATTGATTGGACCGAAGTGCCCGGACATCGTCGGAGCATTACACAAGAAGCCACATGTCAACCTGAGACGAGCACTTCAGTCAATCAATCGACGGGAAAATCAAAAATTCAATTCAAATCCCCATGTATTTTATTTTAGTTGTGATTACTACTGTCACTACAATTTTATACTTTATGCATATTTCTCTCCGTATTCCATACTGTAATTTGCTGCATAGCTGATATAACAACGTTTTGTTATTATTGTTGTATAATGTTTATTCTTACTTTTTATCGTTTTTGAGTAAATTAATGCAATATTGTACTGAATGCTGAAAATTCCTTGCTGTATCATTAGTACTGTTTTTTGGAATAATGGGAATTATTATTATTATAATGTTATTATTATTACTCCTTGGTTGACTCAGTTAATCCTGCTGTTTCTTCCTCCTCCTATACATTTTCGTGAATTAGCCTTTCTCTTTATTCTACCCTCTAGATCTTGTCTTTTCTGATCTCTTTTGTCTACAAAAAGGTTGATTCGCTAACTGGACATTTAGTCCTTCGTCACCTGTCGTTTCATTGAGATGATGCTTGCCACATTTCTATCATTTCTAGTGTGAATCTATTCATCATTTCCTTTGCCTGACTACGTATTCAATATCAACCTAAGCATGAACACACTCCTCTTTTACAACTTAGATATCTTTTTACTAACATCTATTGGTTATTTGTTCTGATCACCTTTATGCTGTTAACTTGACCCCATGTACCTAAAACTGACTAAATGAAATAACTCTTTGAGTGGTAAAACATTCCAATGAAAAATCTACATATTAGGTTAGAGCCGATGATGAGGAACTAATTTAAAGAGAATGTGTATTTCTTCTCTGAATGTGTTTTATTTTTATAAATGCGTAAATGGGAATTCGGAAATTACTAAGCATGAATAGATTTTGTCTTCTCAAACGTGCTAAAATAGTCATTATTTTGTTATCAAATATTCCTGGACCCAGTATATTCCCCTGTGATAAGTTTGGAAAAGGCTGAAGGATGGGCCTGAGTCTATCTACTCCATGTGAAAACAGCATAGTCACTTATTTAACTTATAAGCGCTTCTCTTGAATGCGCTTTCGATGGAAGCACAGTAAAGTGACCATACGGATTTGCGATGGCCACATGGTGTTTGAGGTATTTTGGGCTTCAAAGGAAATGAGGTTATCAGTTACAGAATTGTTAACAGTCTAGAAGTCCGGAAGAAATTCGCTCTTCAGATTGCAAACTGTAGATTCCATAAACTGCTTCTCTCATCCGAATGACAAGCATGAACACAGTTTTGGTATTGCTATCTTCATGTCATTAGTGGCATCGAGAGCTCCAAAGAAGTGGAAAGCAATGGCTTCCAGGATCATGACAGAAATATTCTAATCGAAACTAAGGAAGAAATATTTTAATGTCAAGAAATAGAAAATTAACCCTTTGGATTCAGGACCGACAAACGCAGGACAAACAGATTTAGATCACTAACCAGAGTAAGGAATCTTCGAGATCCAGTGTGAAACGGTAAAAGAAGCTGCAGATAGAAAATAACTGGAATTTACAGTTTATGCAGCCAGCTAAAACCGACAACAGAAACGAAAGTCAAATAGAGATTCGTTCTGAGGTACAGTGTCCTTCTCTGAACGCATGATGATTACAGCAGCTTTATTCTGGATAAAATGTCTACACAATATGCACAATTTGAAGGGTAGGTTATCGCAAAATATCTCATCAACAACCAGGATCTGAAATATATTATTTAACGCGCTATTGTTAGATCTTAAGCTTAATTAATCTCTTACACTACTCGTGTTTTGCAAATGTTTTAAAGGATATACAACAGAACGCGATTTTACTCGAAAATTCTGTATAAGTAGTAAGCAAAAATATTCTGAAAGATTCTAATTCCTTATAGACGTTTTGTTCAGAATAAATTATTATCATAATGTTTTTCAGCACTTAGTGTTTACACTGATTCTCATGCACTTGAATTGCAAATTTTCAGACAGATGTAAAAAGAGAACTGACTTTTGTCCCTCTTCTTAGCGCTTTGATTTTATTTTACTTCGACGTTCAGTTTGCGTGCTGTCTAGTTGTTTGATTATACAGAGAACATAACGAACATCTGAGGACAAAGTACGAATTGAGAAAATCATCTTTCAAGTAAGTGGAGAATCCAAGATCACAAATAAGATTCGTTAATTTATTCTTAAAACAAATGTCGATGATTAAATCACATCAGTTTCTGTTGATTAGATTGACGAAATACACCTGGTTATCTGTTACCTTGACGATCTCCACAAGTGATCTGGTATACGCAATTCTGCTGGTTTTCTTGTTCTGCTTTATCCTTAACCTTCACCAGTAATGAGCGTAAGGTGTGTTAGTTGCACGAAAATACACTCTTATGTTATGGTCATTGAGGATTCGCTTTATTTCATCGGATGTAAGGAATCACAGCTGTACTAACCCAATTCTTAGCAGCAGGTTTCGATTCATCCTTCTCTTAACATTTTAAATACATTTTTATGAAGTCTTTAGGATAATTATTAGATTCAAGAGTGGATTGAACCAATTTTAGTTCCTTGCTAATATCTTCCTCCTTAGTGACTAGACGTTTGGCTCTGTTGATCAGATTCTTGGCCACAGTTACTTTGGTGGTAAATGGGTGGGCTGAATAGTAGTCTTGATATATATCCGAATATGTCGGCTTTCTGAAAATGTTTATTTCAAATTTTCCATCTAATTTTCTTTTTACTAAACAGTCCAGGAACGCCAACTCATTTTTACTCATTCAACCTCTTTGGAAAACTTGATGGTTTCTGACATATTGTTTATTAAGTGAAAAAGTTCATTTAACAAACTACGTTTAATTATGACGAAGGTATCATCTACGTATCTTAGCTACATCTTTGTGGGACTAGAACATCTAATAATTGTATTTGTTTCTAATGTATGCATAAACAGATTGGCGACTGGCGTAGATACTGGTGATCCCATAGCAATACCTGCCGTTTGACGGTGTAGAACCCCTCTCAACGTAAATAACGTGGATCGAAGACACAATTCTTAAACCTTCATAATTTCGTCGGGATTTAAAGGACAACGGCCACTGAGTTCGTCGTCAGCACAAAGTAAATTATAAATAATACTTAAAGAATCATTAACAGGTACATTCGTGAATAATGAATAACCATCGAAATTTGCCATTATTTCAACATCTTCAATATTATTATATAATATTATTGCTCTCTTGGGTTCCTAGTGGGACATAGGGCTTCAACTGCACGTCTCCACTTGCTTCTGTCTTCCTTGTGCTGTACTTTTCACCTGCATCCATGTTAGTCCATACTCTTTCAACTCCTCTTCACACGATCTCCTCCGTGTCACCCTTGGACGTCCCACATGGCGCTTCCCTTTCGGCTTCCACTCGAGGGCTTGTCGCGCGATGTCACCCAGCGGTCTCCTCAGCGAGTTTTCGATCCATCTCCACTTTCTCCTGCATATTTGTTGGGCGATTGCTTTTTGGTTTTGTTTGTTCCCATATTTTCTTCTCGATGATTGTTTCCAGCGATCTGATCTTCAGTAAAGAATGGAGACAGTTGTTGATAAAAGTCTGCAACCTTTTGGAAATATTCTTTGTAACCCTCCAAGTGTCTGATCCGTATGGGAGAACTGAATTGACGTTTGTATTGAAAATCCGACTGAATTTTGTTGTTGATGCTGAGTGATGAAGATTTCCAGATTGGGTTCAGGTTGATGAATGTGTTTATCGCCTTCCGAATTCTCGCTCGATTTGACATCCTCGTCCGTCCCTCATGTAGTTGAGACAATGCTCCCTAGATAAGTGAATGAATGCCTATTTCGGCCTTCTTTGGTAGTTTCACGAGGTAACCTTTCCTCCAGTCAGTAGGCACCTTTCCCTCCTTCCAGACATTTTGCAATAATGGAGTCAGCATGTCTGATGTAGTCTCTGGGTACGCTTTAAGTGCTTCAGGGAGTATTCCATCTGGTCCAGCTGCTTTTCCAGCTTTCAGAAGCTTGATTGCATTCAAGACTTCAGCTCTCGTTGGAGGATTGGTGTCAACTTGCAGTTGTTGTACGTGCTGTTGTTGGTATTTCTGGACGGGTTGGAGGTAATGGCCGGTTCAAGAGTCCTTTGAAGTGATCCGCCCATTGTTTAATCTGTCTTTCTTCCTTGGTAATTAGGTTCCTTGGCTGTCTTTTATAGGTTTAACTTGTGTTGATCTCTTCACGGATAGAGATTTGGTTATCTGATATAATGTCCTCAGGTCCCTTTTCCTGCTGCCTTCTCAGCTTCAGTGGCCAGATTGTCGTAGAATCGTCTTTTGTCCTTCCTAGCACTCTTCTTCACTTCTTTGTCCAGTGCTTTGTAAGTTGAGCTCATCGTCTCCTTCTCCTGTCCGTCCTTGCATTGAATCATTTTCTCTTTCACCATTCTCCTCTCTTCTATTAATTTCCAAGTGTCCATTGAGAGCCATTCCCTTTCTTGTCTCTTCTTTCTTCCTAGAACCTTTGAACACGTTTCGTTGAGAATCGCCTTCAGAGAGTTCCAATGTTCTTCCACGCATGATTCTTCAGTGCTGTCGCGTAGTGTTTCCTGCTTTGCTCTGACATTTGCAGTGAAGTTGTCTTTTGTGGTTGTGTCCTTCAGTAATTGAGTGTTGAACTTGCATTGTGGCCTATCCCAGCTATCTTCGAGGCTTTTAGTTTTACCTTGAAAGTCCTTTCTACTAGATAGTGGTCTGAACACACATCTGCTCCTCTCCTTGACCTTGTGTCCAGTAGGCTCCGTCTCCACTTTCTTGAATTGAAATGAAGTCTATCTGGTTTCTAGAGTTTCCATCGGTGACATCCATGTCGCTTTGTGTATATCATTGTGTTTGAACACACTGCCACCAATCACCAAATCATTGAAGGCGCACAAGTCTGAGAAGAGTTCACCATTGTCGTTCATTTCACCGAGGGCCTCTCGACCCATGGTGAGTTCTCATCCTGTGTTGTCTCCAACCAGCTTCGCATTCATGTCGCTCATCAGGATTTTGATATCACCATTTGGGACGTTGTCCATTACTGTTTGTAATATCTCTAGAACGCCTCCTTCTTCTCTTGTTCTGAGACGTGTGTAGGCGCATAGCATTGAATGACTGTAACTTTCCTTCCTTTTCAGTTGAACCTGACTGTCATTATCCTGGAGGAGATTGGTTCCCACTGCATGAGAGCTTTGGCTGCTGTTGGTGACGTCATGATGGCCACTCCCTCAGTGTGCTCGTGGCTGTCCTCTGGGTGGCCGAAAAAGATTATTGTCTCTCCAGTAGGTAGTTGGCACCTTCCAGTTCCGTTCCATCTGGTTTCGCAGATTCCCAACACTTCTTTTTTGTACCTTCTCATTTCAGCGGCTATCTGGGCAGCTTTTCCACTTTCGTAAATTGTACGAACATTCCAGGTACCCATCCTTACTTACTTTCATCGCAGTATTACTAGCTTCCTAGTTTTCCAATCGTTCCTAAGCCCTGGTGAAGAGGGAAGGTTGACGCGTGGTGCTAGCAACTTCACCATCGTAAAACAACCAAATCGCCACAGAAACGTCAACGAATCTGTGACTGATTCATTGGAAATACTCACAAGATAATCTGTCAAGTTGACCTTAATCAACCAACCTTTCTATTCCACAATCAAATGGACGAATGGATGTGCATTCAACGGTATAATATATATTTCCATTCTTCCGTAGGAACATATCTTTCAAATACAGTTAGTGCGTACTCAGAGCTTATTGCGGTCATATAAATCTGTATTATATTCAGTCCAAAATAAACATATTTCACTTCATCAATGAGTGGCTCGTAGAAATCATTGGGTGACCCATTCCTCGTCATAACATTTTGCGTCAAAGTTACTTGATTGTGTCTTATTGTGTCTTTGAAGAACAGCCTGTGTACACAATCATCTATTAATTGCTTCCATTAAACGCCTGGGAATGTTTTTGAAGAGAATAAACTGTCGAGTGTTTGTTCATATGTCCAAACCAACAATACTGCATCGAGTGATATACAGTAGAGGAATAATCTACTGGAAAGTCCTATATAAGTAGTAAGTAGATATAAACTGAAAATTCAAAATGATGCATAAACGCATTATTCAGATTAAAGCTCTTGATAATTTCTCAGTAATTTTCATACACTTGAATACAGCATTTATAAATTAGGTGTTGTAAATAATTGACTTCTGCTCCTCATCTTAGCGCCTTTGTTTTACACTACTTTGATGTTTGATTCAAGTGCCTGCAACTGTTTAGTTTTAAATAAATAAATAAAATAGCTAACTTCTTGAGACAAAGTTCGAAATGAGGGAATCATCTTCGAAGGATCCGAAGTATCAAAGATCACAAATGAGATCTGTTGTTTTATCCGTAAGTAGTATGCATGTTTTATTTACACATTCGTGTGTCTTGTTTAGATAGAAAATGAACTGGTTATTCATTTGATAATCCAATAGTCAGAGAGCTTATCACGCTTAATGGAAGTCAATTCTTATTTTCAACATGTCTTGCATCATTAGGCTATGCTAGATTCCATGGCATTATTTCATCCTTGAATTATGATGGTGCAAGATGGAGTCCTAGCATGATCCCTCAAGAGCAGCCCATATACCATATTTCTACTGATTAATAGTCCAATAAACTGAACAAATACATATTTGTTTAATTGCATAATTTACTTATAGTTGAATCAGTTTCCCGCCTTTTTTACAATTTCCGTGTCAATAATACCTCTTTGTACTAGTAATACAAGACACATTGGGAACAGTATGAGAAGCGCCGTCGTCATCGTTATATGAAATAAATAACGAGTCCTTAGTCAACAGACACTCATATGAATAAAGTGAAAAACCTCTCAGGTATGGAAGCATGAAACAAATAAACAAATCCGGTTAGTTTTATGGAATCGTAAATTCAAATCGTAAGACAAATGAAAAACATTCAAGAAATGTCCAGCCAAATCATCGTGTCAGCGCATGCATGAATAATGACTTCATGGCGACGAATGATATGTTATGCATTTAATGTCTTGGACAGTCTGAGATTTGATATGCGCTGTCGTCCTTTCATTTTAAAGTATGTCCCGTCAGTTTCAGCCTCTTCTGAGGAGGTGATTGTAGATGGAGGCGTTCAGCCTGTTGGGAATGATTTTCGTGATGTGCTAGGTCCATTAACCATATAAAAGCAGTGATTTGACCCTGCTATTGAAACCCAGGTCATGTTTCATGTGCTTACTGCAAATGATATCCACCATCATTTCGGAATAGTGTTCATCTCTTTATCTTGTTTTCCGTTACCTAATGGTTGCAACATACTCGTTCATGCTGACATCTGCAGTTGAAAATGATGAAGGCTGATGACTTTTACAATTCGCTTTTTGATGCATTTATCAGTTTATTGCACTCAACTTCTCTTTATGTTGTTCATCTATGCACTAGTTCATCTTCTGTTGATCACATTCTTCTCGCTGTATAAATCGAAAACTCTTGAAAATGCATGAATTGTCCTTTCAATACAAGCTTCCAGTGAATACATCTCTGGCGAGTGTCATTTTCCAGACTTAGCAAGACAATCTCACTTCTCATCAATCTCATGTTCCATATTGAAGTCAGTATTTTTATGTGGACAGTCAAAGTAGGTTGAACGCAAGGCTTAATTTTTGGCATGCTACAAATGTGTTAACCACAAGGCGTTGTTCCATCGATTACAGTATTTTATCAGGTTCAGATGCATAGATGTCTGCTCGGTGGATTTCCCAAATCGTCACCATCTTTTTAATGGTAAAGTGTGCTGCCAAACTGGGACTGTATATCCAAGGAATGCACTAGTAGTAGATGTTTACAGAAAGAAGATCAGAATGCTGAAAAATAAAATCGATAGTTGTATTAGGTCGGTTCTTTCTGAACGTGGATGTTACATCATAAACTTGTCGGATATGTTCGTGTGTTTCAGGCTTTCGGTGGAATGAAATGGATCTTCCACGGTAAGCACAGTCATCCCTCAGCGAAATGTTTCCAAATCCTCTCTAAACCAAATAGCAGTTTTTTGTTGAGGGTATTTGATGCAATGAAATAAAGGAATCAAGTATTTATTTCAAAGTTATTTCAAAGTTTTTGGTAGTCTATGGACAAGACGCTCAAGGTGTACAGCATGAAATCCTTTGACATTTTCGAAGGGTAGAATTATTCAGTTCTCTTTAGCTTGACCAAAGCAATTACTGTGAAATTCCTGAGACTTGATTTGCGTTCAGAAAGAGGTAGCTGTCTGTCCTGCCTTATCCTGGCAACTAGATGTACCTACTCTCTCTTTAATTAAGTTACTTGATCTTGGCATGGATGTCTTTTCCGTCGCTGTAATGTCTTTTGCTTATAATTGGTTTAGATAACTTCAGTTACTCAACTAATCAGTTAATTAATTATCGTCCTATCCACCACTTATTTTCCTTATAACAGAACTCTCTTGGTTTTGTATCTTGGATATTTCGCTTTCTGTTTAAACTTGGATTTTCAGTGTATAAGGTATAAAAGTGAAATTTCTGAGTACTGTTCATTAGATCTTAAGACTTATTTTAGGTAACACTTTCTGACATTCATAAGAATGTTAAAAGCTTTCCGTACTTGAACTTATTGATTTCAGCAGGCTGTGCCTCTCTGATGAGACGGTGACGATATAAGTGGCTCCACCATTTGTACCATTTCAGTATGAAGTTGCAGTGGTGATTTCTTATCTGCTCTAGGATGCTATTCCGTGAATGGTTGACCAATAGTCAGTGTCCAGTTCTATGTGGTGGATGTAACGTATCAGTCATGGTGACACCCTATCTCCCCACTCTTTTCAACTACTGAATATCAAATTATTGAGTTGCTACTGATTTGTGATATTTGACATTTGTGTTGAAATTATTGAGACTCAGGAACATATTATCGATTTTATTGAACTTTTAAAAGTAATAATCACATTGAATTTGCCATCAAATTATCTGTTACAATTCCTGATATTTATCTGCCTAATGGACGACCCCCACTCGTGTCCCCGGTGAGATTAATTGGCACGTTGAAGATGGCCACCTCCGTTGAAACGAGCAAATGCAGCCAGACAATTAACGTGCCAATTACCAATCCACAGAGTACGTGTTGATCATTTCGAAATGTGAATCGTCTATCGCCAAGAAGAGCTTGAATAATGATAGCTATCTCCTGAAAGTGAAAGACAGTCATGTTGAGGCTTATTCGTGTCCAGAATATAAAAACATCCTCGTGCATTTGAATAAAGTATGAAGTATCAAAGAACTGATAAAATTCCCAATGCCATTCTCAACATGCATGGAAAGGTGAAGGCACGAAATCTGATCACTTTCTTTATCTTATTTCATCAGTCATTCACAAATAATAATACATATTTTAAAAATGTGGAATATGCAAGCAAACAGTTGCAAGTGATAAAAATATACTACACATCCATATGAATCTGATGGACTAATTGGAATCTCAGGCTCTGACCTACCTTTCTGCAACTCCATATCAGGAAAGTGAACCTTCTGATACCACATTCTGCTCTAATGGCCAATATTTGAAGTAAACTGTGGTTCTGTTTCTAGTGCTCCTTTTTATTCTCCCTAGTACCTTGCCTCACTGAATATCGCAAAATAGAATGCATCACTACAGAAACTGAATTTATGAAGATATAACGAAAAGTTGTAGCTCAATGATGGCAGTGATATCTCCCATATTTAGAAAATTCGACAGTCTGATGTAAGTTGGGATAATGAGTCCTTCTGGGGATATAAATCTGAGTGTAGCACTGTTTCGTACTACGGTGAAATGCCATTAAGTTCAAGCGTAAATTAGATCGTTCAGATACGAACAGTCGTATCACTGACATGGTGTTCCTTCAGTTTGTGATAAACAGTTGTTGATTTTTTTCAATGGACGCATTGAAAGCAATCCAATTCGTCTTCATTTGTTAGTCAAGAGGCTAATTACATTATGTGGCTAACGTTACTTAAAAGTTTAAACGTGAAGTTCAATATCCGTAGAATATTGATGTGTTTGCTTACATTATTCGGGAAACGATGACATGAAAGAACGAAATGAAATCTATGAGAGTTATGCGCTTGCAGCTGCTGACGATAAATTCAGTTACCGTAGCTTGATAAACGACTCCGGATATTCAGAAGCAAAATATATAAGTCCTATTTTCGACATGAAAACTCACAATTAGTGAGAAAAATCACGGCGATATTCATTTTTTATTTGCAATCAATAGACTGCGCGAAAGAAGTAAAGTGGAGCTTCAATACCCAGCAACATTAGACGCAACAATTGGAGTATATCTATCCCCTATATAGTATACATGAGATAATAATTTCTTTAGTATCGTAAACCAAACGTGCATCAACTACTTCACCTATCTACTTTATTCAGCACATTTTCCAGCCCTTAAAATGACAACAGTCGGCTCCACACGCAAAAAATACTAATCTCTTTTCAAATGATCGAGTGATAAACGTACCGAAATAACTGACCACATCATGGCGAATCCACACAGTATTATGAGTATCTGTCAAGAGATTGATGAATCAAATCAATGATTAAGCTCAAAATACACTGAATTATTATTGTGAGTTTTGTTGTGCTAATCATTTTAGCCTATCCTTCACGTCTGCTTATTATTTACACAGCCCGGTGTAATGATGCATTACATAAGTTATAATGATCGCAGAAAATATACTTCAAATATGGAGACAAGTTAATCTCAGTCAAAGTGCTATCCACATTACATAATGTTCTCTTTGAGATCAAAGGAATCGTGCTGTTCCACGTAAGTTTTAGTATATTTCTATATGTTTTCAAATTCATGCAGTCACTGAAGGTGTGATATTGTTTAATCCATGCCTAACTAGGCTTAGAACCAGATAATTAAGTAGGGCAAGTGATGAAGACATCTGGCTATAAATACGACGAACAAAAATCACCATCAGTTGCAAGAATTCAGATAAAGTTACCTGACCAAGTAAGAATCGTTTTAACTACGGGCGGGGTCATAAATGAAGATGTCAAATTCAGCTAGTATCGGAAAACGAGACACAGACTTGTTCATGAATATGAAAAGAGTTGTGGAGCTAGTAACATCTGGTTCAGAGAATCAGATCCGAGATGCCAGTGCATATGTAAATTCAGGGTTCTCATATCCGGTAACTAGCCGGAAGCGATAAGATGTAGTACAGTCAATTAGTGAATTTCCTACCTTCCAAGATCATCACCTTGTAAGAGAGAGAATTCCTCTGTAGAGTGGTAATCGATACTGTTGATGGTATGCTCGTGTTCCAAAATAATCGGGCGACGAGTTAGAAGCAGACGTATGTACACATTATACTACATATCTATAATGATGCATACTAAGGTAAAGAAAGTTGTAAAGACTGGGTTTCTGCAGATCAATTTGTACAGGATGGGGAATGGGAAGGATAGACATTGACTATAATTGTGTTGATTCAATATGACGATTGTTACCAGACTACTCAGACTACAGACTGACAAATTCGTAGGACTCTCATAAATAAGTTGTCGTTTTCACAGGCAAAATGACATCTCATCTGGTATTACAGCGGATTCAGTAATCAAAGTTTGAATTTTTTCTGATTTATGAGATATTATTCGTTGACATGAAATATTTAGTTACTCATCCAATTGGTAGGCATTACTGTTCTTCAGCCGTTTTCACTTCGTTCACCATCAATATCCATTTTGTCGCGTCTATTGCTCAAACTTCTCGAAATGATGTTTTTCTATTATTGATGATTGGATCAAATAGACACCAACTCCTCCTCGCCAATTTGGATCTTAATGGATTATTGATTGTCTTTCTCTGAACCCTTTTTGTCTGCGGTGTATCTGATTATGAGATATGTAATAGATAGGGTGGTACATGAAGAACGGATTAAACTCCAGTATTTTACGTACCCACACATCCATGGAAACCAAGTATTTCTTGTCATCCATTCATGAAGTTCAGTGCTGGAAAGCATTTCATTAACAGAATCAGTCAACAAAACATAACTGACACAAGTAACACGAGAGCGCAGATTTTGCACACAATTGTTATCTGTACTGATACTATGATAAAAGTCTGTGAAAAATGAGCAATAAGATGAACCCCTCTATAAAATTAAACAAATACCTTCCAAATGAACTCTCTGGTTCTTCGTTCAACAGAAAACTGCCTTGAAACAGACCTGATTAATTTGATTATAATTAAAAGCAATGAGGAACCTCATGTCAGTGAATCTTTTCTCATACTGCGAAGTCAACCATTTCAACACAGATATTCACCTCTACAGTCAGCTGAAATAAGAATGTACACCCATGACACGGTGCTGTCACCAACTAATACAACTCTTACATGACTTAGCCAGTTGATTGTGTACTTGTATTTACCACATACTGTAGTAGAATCTACAGAATGACAGCGTTGAGTTTCGACATTAAGTGACAAATTATGAGAACTTTTGAATGGTGGTTAGTATATGACAGGTGGTTAGTATATAAATGTCACAGAACCCTTTTAAAATATGAAGATCTAATGAGACATTTTTTGTTACCAGTCTGAAACCTGAGTAGCTTCTTCGGGTTTGATAGTGCACGAATCGACATGGTGTTCACAGGTAATAACATTCTCAGTCTATTTTGGTTGTGATTATTCTGTTTCAGATAGGTCATGGTGACTGACAGTTTGCATCTGTATTTGAAGAGCAAATGGGATTTCCATACACTATTTATCATCTCAATTCATTCTAGGAGTGCCATGTTGATTGCAGTTGTACAACTAATTTAGCCAGTATCGAAATAAACACTACAACTGTCGAAACAATATTTATGCCTCATTCGACGAGTGAGGCGCAAACTATGTGAAAGTAAAGCCCAGCTGACCAGTCAAAATGCAGAATCTATATATATATGACGTCCAAATATATAAAATCCGCGGTATTTAAGATAATTTAAACACCTCAAGGGAAAAAATAAATGTCGTGTTACAATTTAGAAGAGCTTTATGTTCTCCCTCATGCCAGCATCAATATCTTGATTTCGAAAATATCCGTATTTATGGCGAGGATGTTACGGATCATTCATTGTGTCGAATTTCTCTCAGATATACTTTCCATCAGTCACTCTTCAATACTGTCGGTAACTAACTGCATTCCCCGATCGATTGCAATGAGTATATAAGCGTCTAATTCTGAACGGAATCTTTCATTCAGTTAGGGAATATAGAATTAATGAATTTCAAAGTGGCCAATTAAGTAAGAACTGTTTCAAAATATTAAGCTACAAATCAGTGAATTATTCAGGTATCAAATTAACCCTTACAAACCTTTGTAAAAAGCACATTATATCTTTGATATATGGAGGATACCATCGCTTTTGGATAAGCCTTAGTTACTGTCGTTCATCAAATACACCATATTGAGACGAAACATAAAATGAGGTCATGAGTAGTACGTCATACTAATGAACAGTCTCATGTGAGCATTAAAAGTATCAGGATGGAAGTAAAACTTGCCAGAAGATATTTTCAAGTGCATGATGGATTCATATATGAAACAGAAAACTCACCCTCGTTCGATGAATTTGTCATTGCCGAAATTGTATTAATTACAGAAATCGTGGAATAAATGTGCAATCCGATTTAAAAATATCAGCATATTTGAAAATCAATCAAGAAGAATTTATATGAGCAAAAGTGTTGACATCGATGAATTGCAAAACGAACTTTGATATGAGAGAAACAACCAATGAAACAAGTGAATTAGAAACTACACTACTTGAAAAACTGTCTGAATAGACGCAAAAAAATGAAGTCTCATAAAACTGTCGGAATACACAAAGCACGTTAGTTAGAATACTGAATAAAAGGCGTCTACTCTGAGCAGATAAATAGAACAGAATTAAAATATCATGGCATGGTGGCAGTTCGGGAGCCAGTGAGCACCACTAGCCGCCGAATGTTTACTTCAGCATACTTGAAAATCCCTCATAAATGAGAATATATAACTTCGTGGAGTTGATAGTCAAGGTGTTAGCCAACAAAATTGTGAGAAATGGAACAAAATATGAAAATAAATATTCCGTTGTATACAGTCGAAATGGAGTCTAATTAATAGAACGCGAGGCTAGAAAACAGCACCAATTTTAATGCATGAGTCTAAGTAAGAGTAAGGGCTACAGGTAGAATTCAAATTCCAAATTAAAGCGTCTATCAATAGTGCGTTTGCGCTCTTCACATTATTATGAGAATTGACAAATAATGGCTAGTTTTAATGAGACAGCTGAACTGGAAAATCAGTTATCTAATTGGTGAAGCTTGACGTAGGAATGTGTGAAATCAGAGTGAAATTAAATTCCCTGGAATCGAGATAGCCTTATACATTTTGCCTTATTGGTGCAGCAAATCGGTGTCAGGATTAAATATGTAGTAAATGATGTCTGATTTGGAAGGCGTTAGGTGCATTTATTCGCACATGTGATTTCGATGAGTGACTTATTTACGCGATTTTGTTTGAGCTAGACAGATAGTTTCTACATTACAATGTCTACAATACATAGCTGGAGACGCATAGTTTAAAAGTGATAGAGTTTGGGTACCCTCAGACTCAGACTGATCAAGATTACATCAACGACCGACCCTGTCTAATTATCGAGTTTTAGTTAGTTGAAATTTGAAGTGAGTTCAAATCTGCAGTGTTTGTCTTTTCAGCTGTGTTAGTGAAAGTTAGTTCACAGCTTTTATCCAACTGAATAAAAAGGATGAAATAGCATTTCTTGCTTGACTCAGTTAATCTTACAGTTTCTTTCTGCTCCTCTACATTTTCGTGAATTAGCGTTTCTCATCATTCTATCCTCTAACTCGTTTCTTTTCTGAGTACTTTTGTCTACAAAAGGGTTGATTCGCTAACTGGACCTTTAGTCCTTCGTCACCTGTCGTTTCATTGAGATGATGCTTGCCACATTTCTATCATTTCTAGTGTGAATCTATTCATCATTTCCTTTGCCTGACTACGTATTCAATATCAACCTAAGCATGAACACACTCCTCTTTTACAACTCGATATCTTTTTACTAACATCTATTGGTTATTTGTTCTGATCACCTTTATGCTGTTAACTTCACCCCATGTACCTAAAACTGACTAAATGAAATAACTCTTTGAGTGGTAAAACATTCCAATGAAAAATCTACATATTAGGTTAGGGCCGATGATGAGGAACTAATTTAAAGAGAATGTGTATTTCTTCTCTGAATGTGTTTTATTTTTATAAATGCGTAAATGGGAATTCGGAAATTACTAAGCATGAATAGATTTTGTCTTCTCAAACGTGCTAAAATAGTCATTATTTTGTTATCAAATATTCCTGGACCCAGTATATTCACCTGTGATAAGTTTGGAAAAGGCTGAAAGATGGGCATGAGTCTATCTACCTCGTGTGAAAACAACATAGTCATTTATTTTAATTAGAAGCGCATCTCTTTGTTGGAATAAGGAATTCAGAAGTGTGGGGTTTAATACAGGGTTATATATAATATCAGTCAAACAATGAATGCGCTTTCGATGGAAGTAAAGTAAGGTGACCATATGGAATTGCGATGGCCACATGGTGTTTGAAGCATTTTGGGCTTCAAAGGAAATGAGGTTATCAGATACAGAATTGTTAACAGTCTAGAAGTACGGAAGAAATTCCCTCTTCAGATCGCTAACTGCAGATCCCATAAACTTGGTGTTGCTATCTTCACGTCATCAGTGGCATCGAGAGCTCCAATGAAGTGAAAGCAATGGCTTCCAGGATCATGACAGAAATATTCTAATCGAAACTAAGGAAGAAATATTTTAATGTCAAGAAATAGAAAATTAACCCTTTGGATTCAGGACCGACAAACGCAGGACAAACAGATTTAGATCACTAACCAGAGTAAGGAATCTTCGAGATCCAGTGTGAAACGGTAAAAGAAGCTGCAGAAGAAAATAACTGGAATTTACAGTTTATGCAGCCAGCTAAAACCGACAACAGAAACGAAAGTCAAATAGAGATTCGCTAATGAGGCACAGTGTCCTTCTCTGAACGCATGATGATTACAGCAGCTTTATCGTGTATAAATAAAAATTCAAAAAAATCAAAACATGGTTACCACGAGTATAGAAGTGGTTGAGAAGATTACTCTACTCTCATGGTAACAATGCTTTGATTTGTTTTGAGTTTTTTATTTTTATTTTGATGACCTAATTTTGTTTCTTTGCCTGTTCTTTATTTGCTTATATTTCTTGTATTCACTTACATCTCTTACATAATTTCGTAATATCTACTTTGTTACTATATGCATCCCAAGTAAAACTCACTCATCAAACTATTCATATTATTATTACATAACTTCTTTTAACGACTGTTTGTGACAACTAATCAACTTTGTTACTACCCTAGTTTCATTAACACCTAATTTTCTTGACTTGTATTACCAATCTTCACTTGTTTAGTTAAAATAACCATAACGAATTGTGATTTTGTTTGACAAACTTAATGTACACATACATACAAAATAATACATATATGTATTTGCGATTGTACAGCTAAGAAAATGAATTTTCCGGCGAAAAGAGACTCTTCGCTGATTTACGTGTTTTGTTTTCATTATTGCCTGGATGGGGATTATCCATGAATTAAGCTGATGATTTAGAAGTTTCAATGGCTGTTAAATCCCAGCTAGATTGTACCTAAATAAATAGCTCTCTGTCGGAAGTCAGTAAATGGTCTGAATCTAATGGTCTTAAACTGAATCCTTGTAAATGTCAAACTGTTAATTTCAGCTTGAGATGTAAAAGACAGTTAAAAGAAGTCATTGATGCTCATGACAGTTTTAAGATTGATGACAATGATATAGGAATTAAATCAGAAATCAAGTATCTTGGACTTATTCTCTCTTCTGATCTCTCCTGATCTTCCCATGTCTTAGCTATCCTCAGTAAAATATCCCATCTGACATTTTACATTAGGAAGTTAATGCACTCGGATTAAAGTCAACCCCTCCTCTTACAGTTCATAAACTCTTGTATCCCACCTATTCTTCTTTATGGTTCACTCTTATTCTTTCCTGGTTTGCTTAAAAAAGACTATGTCACAATTCGTAGAATGTTGAAGGCTGTCAGTAGGGTGAGTGGTGTCCCAGTGGACCACATAGTTTACGTCGTTGTCGATAGGCACTTGACTGCATGCAATAAATTCGCTAAAATGACTTCATCTGACTTTGAGCGTCCACTTTGCCATACGCTTTCACCTAGCATCTCCTCAGGTAGAACAACAAGTAACTTCAAAATCTGTGTGCTCGCGCGTCCAAGTTAAAAATTCTATGATACCATACTTGGCACGTATTTTGTGTGATGAAAATAGTGTCAGGCAAGAATTAACTAACCTTTTTCTTCTAGTAAATAAACAATTTCCTCCATCCATCCATCCTTATACCTTCAAGTTTTACTTTTATCATTTCTATTATATTTATGGTCCTGTTGCTTCTTTGTTTTACTCTCATAATTGCAAGCACCAACTGATCTCTATGACTGTTGTAATCTTTGTTTTTCCCCTCACCATATCATGTAAAGAGAACATTATATTCAATATATATAAAAAAGGCTTGGATTTCTATACCACATTGCCAATACTGTGTGAAACAAGCCCACGGCAATTTTCACTTGTATTATTATCATTACCCCAATTGCAAATGTGGAAAATTTTCTGTGTGATTAATTTTTATTTCTTATTTGAGGAAATTAGATGCAATCTTGTGATTAATGCTGAAAATTCCATTGTGTAACACAAGTATTGTTTTGGAATAAAGTAAATCATTATTATTATTACTAAAAATATATATAGATTTTTATATCAAAATTTTACCAATTCATGTGGTTATGTTAGCTCATCAGTTTTAGGCATACGTGGATGAAATGAAGAGTTTGACAGACATTAAAACATTTAACTCATAGATGTTGGTAACAAGAATTCCAAGTTTTCAAGAAGGAGTGAAAACTAATCACGGAAATAACGCTACATTAATTTTAAGCCTTTAGCAACAAGAAGAATTACGTAAAATAGAAACAAGTTTATAGAATCAGCTGGCATAGTAAAGATAACAAACTCTAAGTATATTTAGAAGTTCCCTGTTAATAGCTGTCCGACCTGCCTTTGTCATTCATTCTTTTGTGTTAGAAAGTGTACTACTTATCTCTAGCAAGTAGTACAAGTGTATTTGTTCATTCTTAACCGCAGTTTATTTGATATCGAAGTTTGACTGACTCAATGTAGTAATATTTTATTAGATGAACGTCATATACAGTATTCGCTTTACCCGATTACCCTTTACTGCTGAATACTGTTTGCTTGTGTGCTTTAACTGTGTGTCTGTGGTTCGCGGACTCTTTAAATAACACGTGGATCGCTTTTGACACAACTCTGCTGCTTTTACGTACTAACACAGATTGACCGTACTTTTTATTGACATTCAGCTACAGACACCTCACAACGGAGGTTTCTACATTATATTTTTTGATATTTTATGTTTAAGATAGTACCGTATATGATAGAGAAGATTTGTAGGTCAGGTGGATGGTTTTGATGTGTTTGTGTTCTCTGAGGTGGATAGTTAATTTGCGAAGCTTCCGTTGCCCTACTAGGTAACACATTCAGCTTATACTTTAATTTGAAGTGAGCTTATAAATTTGTCCACGATTTTATTAATCATATTCCATGGTGAACTTGGACGTGATTGGTAACTTTTGTGTGTTTTCACACCTTCTAAATTAGGAACTGATTGTTTCTTTGATTTGAACTTTGACCCTCTGTGTGAGGTTTCTTTCTCATTGGTTG